ATAGATATCCTCAGCTACATCAACCATCCATAATATCCCATGTGCTGCCATCACTGCTTTGCCTGACCAATTGCCTGTGTAACCTGTTCCATCTTGTAGGATCAATATTAGCACTTCACTAAGCATGCAGTTACAGCTATCTGCTAGCACAAGAAGAACCTCATCGTGCCTCATTGTACTGAAAGATGATCATCTTGAAGAAGAAATGCAATTTTCTATACCGATACTTTCATTTAATTGTTTTCAGTGACTTGTTTGATGCCTTTGTTCTATTAGTTATGCAAATACTTTATAGCAAAAAGCAAAGCATTGGAAAATGAATAAACATGGAAAGGTTGAACAAAAAACTGAGTTTAAAGTCTAAGCAATGTCTCTGTGCCTCAGTTTTCCATAATCAAAGTGAGATTAATGATACCATAACCACCTGCTGTGAGATTCTTGTGGATCATTGTTTGATTAGCAGACCTAAAATGTTCCAAGGGCAAAAATTCTCCTGGTGCCTCCAAATACTAAGTGAGCTGTGATTCTCTTAGGAACTGACTGAGATACAGAAGATTGATAAGGTACAGAAGCACAGGATCAAAAGGAGAGGAAGACAGGTCTCTGTGCAGTATGAGAATGACGGCACAGGAGGAAAAGTATTCCTGGCCCTACCACCCTCATTCTCTTGTTAACTGCCTAAGTGAGGACAGCACAGAATAGAAAGTTCCTTATCCCACCCAGCCACTGCTGAAGGAGTGGGTGTTCCTGGTAAGCATCAGGATAAAAACAGCAAATACCAGCGAGGAACAGACATTGTGACACCTCCCTTGGCATGGAAATACAAAACGGTGGGATGCTTCCTGTGCTGTCTGTGTGATTGCAGTAAGATCGCCTTGCCATAATGCAGGAGGGGATAAATCTTGTTTCAGTGAAGTTGAAAGCAGTGCAGCTCAGCTGAAATTATCTGCAAAAACATAAGAATGAAAACACCTCGACCTTGCAAGCTTTTGTCTCCTGTGTTTCTGTCTCCCCTGTCAATACCAACCAGAACCGGTTACCACTTCTGTCTTTTTTCTTTCTTTCTTTTTTTTTTTTTCATGTCAGCATCTTCCAGTAATGCAGTGTTTCCAAAGTGGAAATGAAAGGCACAGGTGGGGAGTCAGCTGCCTGCTTGTCATAAGGCAAAATATTTCTTCACTCGAGACGTCATAAATCCTGGAGTACTCTCTGCTCGCACAGGAGGATTTCAGCATGGAGGCATGCTGCAGAAAGGTATTTGTGTCAGAAAGAGAAGAATTCTCTGGGCAGTGTGATACTCGCAAGAATTAATGCTAGTGTGGGATTGTTTTGCTTGGTTTTTCTTTCCCTCTTTAATGAAGCAGTGGCTTATGGAAAGCACTATAAAGTTTGCATCCAAATGGAGTCAGAACCACAATATCAAATGCCATAACGCTTTGAAGGTAGAAACTTTTTAATTGCTATATTTTTTCTAAGCAAACTCTTCATTTTAGTCAACAAAATGGGTTTGATCCTGAAGGAATTTTCTGAAAATTCCCAGAGTAGGACAGCATTAACACAGTGGAGTGAAAAGCTCATCAAGTTCTTCAGACAAATGCTTCTCATTGAGGTGAATTAATAAAGGTAAGGGTGCTGAGAGCATACTTGTTTGTGAGCAGCTCTGGATTTTGCTCTGCAGAGGAGCATATGACCCAATCTGCAGCCCATCATGGCTTTTTTCATGGCGAGAACGGCATAGAACAGCAACACAGATTAGGCTACTGCATGAAGTGGTACAAGAGAGCAACTTGCATCCAGAATGAAGGATAAAATATATGGAAATTCCTGAAAATAGCAAGTTCATTTCATCTTGAAAATTAGTTTTCCTATTTTTCATTCTATTTTTTCAGGATAAATTTGCCAGATGAAAACCGTATGTATTTGGTGGGCAGTTATTCTCAGTAGTTCATTGACGTTTATCAAAAACAAAACAATAAAAATACATAGGATAGCAGCAGGAGCCAGCTCACTAGAGATGGAAGACGGATGGGACACTGGTAGTTACAGCTGGTGTTTTATCAGTCCAGAAAACAGCTGTGCCAGAGTTGGGAGGAGCTAGAGAATACCCATGAGTGCTTTCGTGAATTGTAGTTAGCTCAACAGAGGCCTCTGCTGAGCAAATAGTAACTGTCTGAAACAAGCTCGGAAACAAGCCAAGTGCCTCACCTTTATTCATCCTTACGAGGACTATTTGGTAGCCCTCTTACTGGTCACACTGGGAGGAGAGAAAATTCCGAAGGGACAGATAAGCGCAAATAGTTCTGTCTTATTTCTAAGGAAAACAAATAGGGAACTGTCCCTTATGAAATAAGAGTATTCACATGTGATTTGCCATTAGAGAGTGTATTATAAATTTTACCGTAGTTTTATTAAAGGTTCAAAAGTAATTTGAACAGAGGGACCATGATTTACCATGAGATTTAATGTATACCTTTAGGTCATTTTTACTTTTTTCTTTGTTTACTTGAATTTGCCACACTTAAACTGAATCAAGCCATTGATTTATCAGAAATGCTTTATTCCTCACTCTAGATCTGTGTAGATCTAAGGTATAAACAAGAAAACAGTAAAATGTTGCATTTGTAAATATTTTAGAGAACACTGCTGTTCTGTGCAGCTTTATGCTTTCTTTTTTCCCTGGTGTCATTGAGTGCTTTTTCAGAAGCTCATTTGGGAAATGTATTCTTTGATTTTGGTAATCAATTGATCAACATTTGAAGCCCTGCTCAGACACACAGCTATTGTGAAGAGGAGTACTTTCAGATATCCATTTGATTGTGTTTATGATGCTTGCTTTATTCAACTGTGCTCCAGGAAAATTAAAATGTAGTGCTATATAATAAGTATGGGAAGGTTAGCATTCACACTTTAGGGATAAAACATTTTGACAGTTCTATTCTACATTTGCATTTTAAAATTGTAATGCTTTTAATTAGACCCTATGTTTATGGTAGTTTCTCTTGTAGGCATTACTATTGTGAGACTGTTACCTTTCAGGGTCTGTTCCGGACTGCTTGTCTGCGGGGAAAAGCAAAAGCCTGCTGTTTCCATATACAAATTGTTTGCTGGTCCATCGTATGTGTCATTGTCTTTAATTTCTCTTTCTGCTCCACCTGTGTCAGCACAGCAGAAGAATTTGGGTTTGTTTCTGAGGATTCATATGTGTAGGGTTAGGGAGGGACATATATACAGTTCTATCTCACGTGCTTGGTATATTTTTCTACCGATCCTCAAATTCTCAATTTTTGTTCACAGTAGAATCCCCAAGGGGACAGAGGCAGACATGGTCTGGAGAGAGACAGGAGATTCTGCCATGATATGCATTGCCTTTTTAGCTGTTGGATGTTTAAAGAAAGCACATACACTGCAATGGTCGACATCCTGAGCTTACGAAAATGATCACTGATATAGGATTAAAAAACAACAACAAAAAAAGGCCAAATAGTCCCTAGACAGCCAGTCCCTAGAGTCTTTGTGTAACTATTACTGGATTTACCCTGGGAAGGATATGGAGTTTGGTGGTACCAGAAATCTTGTGCAATGACTTCTCAGAGAGTGTATTCCTGCATTAGTCCCCATACTGTATCTCCAAAGCCCAGGAAATTCAACCACCCTCACAAACTGCTCTGAGGTGCTCATTTCCTTATCTTCCTTCAATTTTTGAAGCTGTTTCTTCTGACTCAGCAATAAATAGCAGATATTCAGATGTCGCTGCATATTCAGATATTTGGTATGGAAGTCATGTTTTCTGATTGGGAAGGGGGCAACCAGTAAATCCTCCCAGCACACCCAGATTGCATCTTGCATTTAAAATCATTAAAATCTGAATTATACAGAGGCTATGCAGCACTAGGGGTAAGTACATTGGCCTTTCATGTCTTATTATGTTGTTAATTAGTTAATGTTTGTAAAGCACTTTGAAGATGAAAAGCCCTATATAAGTTCTAAGTGTTATTATCTCTAGAGACCTGGGTTCAATTCAAAGGTGCCTAATTACATATGCCATAAATTAGACTTAATGAGTTGTGGAATCATGTGCTTTCTGTGATGCGTGCAGGTTTCTCAGATAGACCTTGGTCCTGTAGCCTGCTGCTGTGCTTCTTTAGGTACACAGAGCTGTTATGAAAAATAATGCCAAAGAGAGCAGAAATTTTCTAGTAACAAGGTTATAGTTCATTTCAGTTTAGAACTTAGTGAAGGAAATAACCAGGAGCTTTGCTCTGCTGTATCTAGGGCTTTTCCAGTAACCAATTTCAAACTGCTGAAGTTAGCGTGATTGTTTTCAGGCTATGGTGCAGACAGAATTCTAATTCTTACTTTAGCTCCATATCTGGGCTTACCACAGAGGAGCTGAGCATGACTGCTGTCCTAATAATGCCCTGAGATGTACCATCAGGGCTGGAGACGTTTCGGTGTTGGGTAACGTTCACATGCAAAAGAAAAAGTTCCCATCTGTAGAGATACTATCATTGAATTTACAGCAAGCCCTTACAAGTGAGTAAAGTGCAAAAGGGGGAAGTAGCAGTTATAGGAAAATGTGGTTTCATTGGCTTTGCAGAGCTGAGAGTTTCTGTGTTATGTAACTTACATATTCTGTGGCGAAAAAACTACAGAATTGGCCCCACTCAGGGCAGCTATCCAGCAGTGAGAGCAGAGAGGTTCTCTCCTGGTTCCTTCTGAATTAACAGAGTTCAGAGACACAGAAAATCAGTAGGATCATTCACTTGACCCAAAGCGGTTCCCCTGTGTTCTTGCAGCAGAACATTTTATCTTGGACCCTCTGCATGCTTAAAGGGAGAGGCAGGGTTTATTCGATGTACAAATATGTTAGAAGTGATTGTGTTCATTAGTACAACCTAAGTAGATTGGAAAAACCAATTAATAGCAATTTACTATAAGTGTCACTAACTGACTTCTTGAAAGTATTTATCCTGAAATGAAAGTCATTTGATTTAGTTAATGTTTGTTATATATGCAGATCTTCCGGGGAAAATGTATTTTTGAGTACTCCAGACAATTGAAACTAGTGAGCACGCTGTCTGGAGAAAGCATCTGTAACCGCAGCCAAAAGAGGAACAAGATTTCCGACATTGTTTCAAGACATGTGTTTGAAGCATGGGTTCCCATCACTTTCGGAGTGAGTTGCAGACCATTTTTCTTTATATAGATTTAGACAAGACAAAGCAGTCCGGGATTTGTCTTGCTAATTGTCTTTGTGATTTCTCTGGAGGCTGTATTCTTTTGCTTAGCTGGAATATGATCATTTCCTCAAGAAACTTTAAATGGGACCAAGCATTGTCTCAAAGTTTTATTTTCTCTTTGGCCCAGTATTCATTCAATCTGCTCACATTTCTGCCTTCCTAAACAAACAGTCAAACCTTACACCTTAAATGCTGGAGTGCATATCCTTCAAAAACAAGATGTAATTTTGCTGAATATTTTTCATATATTATAATAAATAGGAACTTGAGATAAATGTCAGCTTGAGCTCCAGGCTGTGGTTAAGTGTTTTAATAGTATAGCAAACTTATCAACAAACTTTTCTTTCCCCACCCTGCCCCCTTCCCTTTTTGCAGTGAACAGATTTTTATCTGGCTGGCTTGTGACTTGGGGATTTTTACAAGCGGATTTCAGTACTTGTCCAATATTTTGAAATTTGAGTCTGAAAACAAAACAAAACAAAATCTTAAAACAATACAAAACAGTATTTTATACTGTATTTAATAACTGGGCAAGTTTTTGACTTTCTGAAGTGCAAAGAAGATTCTGTTCTCTGACCTAATGCTCGCTATTTCACCAGAAATTACCAATCTGATTCATTTTTCAGTACTCCAAAACAGCATAGACAGCTGTGTAACTCCACTCAGCCACCAAATTGCAGGGAGCTGTAACACCCTCTTCATTTCTGTACTACTGTAGCCTTCTTCCAAAAACTGATCAGAGCACTTGCATTGCTATTATTTCATCTGGGCATTTTAAGTCTGTTTACATTCCTCCTCTGTTTTCCTGATGACAGTGACTGACATTAGCACTATTACAATTATTGGTTAAAAATTAGCAAAGACACTATGCAAGAAAATGAGAAAGTTGTAAGCTTTAGCAGCTGCACCAAACTGTCTGTTAGAGAAACATCAGGCAGGAGGAACAACCTTACAACATTGCGAAAGCACTTTTTTTACAGCCAGACCTCCAACTCTGACCAGTGATAGCAGATAAGGGTGTGCTTTGAGAAAATAATTCAAGGGTTACAAGAAATATTAAATGCACGTGCGTATTTAGTGGCCAGCTAATATCCTATCTGATCACTTGGTAGTTGTGTTTGGTGACCCTCTGAAGAGTTTTACAAAAACAATTCTCATCCTTTTGACTTGTGACTCCCCAAGTCCTTTTCCTGTTTTATGTCTGTAATTTAACAAAGCACTGATCTCTCTCACTGAAGATCTGACTGTGGAAGCACTGCTCATGAGGTATGGAAGACTTGTGGGTCATTCCTGCCTCCAGCTTCTTCTCCCTGTCTGCAGGCAAGGGGTTTTCACAGCCCAGCTGGCAGAATGGAAAGCACAGCAGTAAGTAGGGGGGTAAACCAAGATTTTATACTGAATTTTATTCTAGAATGGATAAAGAGCAACTGCCAATTCTCAGAGAGTATTGTGCAAGTAAATATGTGTTGTCATAAGTTTGTTGAGAGCTGATGTTTATTTCTATGGACCTGTGGATTTTGCTTTTGTGAAGCTATAAGATTTTCTGATGATGTGCTGCATGATTCATGAATTTTCTTTCTCTCTACAATCAAGATGTGCTGCAAAGGGGACAAAATCACAGACAAAATGCAAAACCAGTGGTTAGTTGGCTAAACTGTTGATCTTAGCAAGGAAAGAGAAAAAAGCACAAAAGGTCTTCAAAACTGTCAGCATCACTGTTGTAATATGATTAAGATTTTAAACATAATTTTTTTTCAAATTGTAACAGTTTTCTAGTGTTCAGTATTGCAGTAATATCCATGACACTCCTGAGAAGAACAACTTAATGTTGAAGCATTAAGAATTGAGTTTGTAGATATTCAAGTTCAGAAGTGCTATTCTGACACCAAATATTTTAGTGTCGTGCAAACCTATTTTCACCTACGTATTCCTTCATCAAGTAGCTCTGTCATCTGTAGTGGAACAAGAGTGTGCCTCAGTTTAACTCTCAGGTCAGTAAGGCATTTCTATTCTGAACATTATTTGAGCTTTATTTAAGCATGTCATTTGATGAGACAGTGGTTTGATAAGCCTGGAGTTAACAACAGGCCAAAGTACTGTCCTGGACCAGAGTTTGATTTGACAATATGTAACAAAGTAAGTGTGCACACCAACACTTTGATTCATACAATCATGCAATGGTTTGGATTGGAGGGGACCTTAAAAGCAGTTCCATTTCAACCCTGTGCCATAGGCTGTGACTTTTTTTTTTTTTTTTTTTTTTGCAAGGCGTTTTCCCCAAAGTCCCATCCAACCTGGTCTTGAATGCCTCCACAGGTGAGGCATCTACAGCTTCCCTGGGCAGGCTGTTCCAAAGCCTCACCACCCCATAAGGAAAGAATTTCTCCCTTGTATCTAATCTAAATCTACCCTTTTTTTGTTTCAATGTCCCTACGTTTATTCCCTGTCCTATCACTAAAGTTTTAAAAGTGCTTTAAGAAGTAGTTTTAAATTGTGTAGTTTTAAAGTATACAAGTGTAGCTGACAATTCTTTTCAAATTTCCTCAGGAAATAAGCAATGTGATTAATTCATAAGTACCCATAAGTATATCTGCTTTATTTCTATTGAGATCTTTATTGAGGTGATCAAGTGGCATTGTTACCTTAAAAAGATACCAGAAAGGCTTAAAAATGAACAACTTCATAAAAGGATAAGGATTATTGTCATGTAAACTTCATCACATCAACTAACTGACATTATTTGTTCACCCCATACAGCAGTTGTTTGTAATCGTTATTTGTGTGGCATCTGTTTGGCACTTAAACTGTGCATATAACTGAGAAAAGCTGCATTATTAATCAAGAGAAACTGAGAAATGTAGTTGAGAATGCTAGATCAGGCAGGCAGATGGAATTATCTCCTGTGGCATTCACTGTTAAAAGAATTTACTTTTTTTTCTCTCCCTTCCTTATGCATGCAAAAAGAAAGCAAACAAACACATTCTCCTAGTTTCACAAGAAAAGCATCTAGAAGTCAGAAATACCATAACCAGTGAAATAAACTATTGTTCAATCTAGATTCCTAAGAGGAGCCTTGGAATTACCCAAGATTACGCGGAGAGGAAAAAAAAAAAAAAACAACACTTTTTTTTGTGTGTGTTACTTTGCTAATAGTTGGTTTTATCCTAAAGAAAAATTAATGTTACACCCATCTGCATGCACTTAATCTTGGTCTTCCAGAATGTTCTTCTTGAGCTCATGATGAAAGCTACAATAATTCTTTGCCCTCACAGTATGAAAAGAAATAAAACAAGGGATTCAAAATGGACCAACTATTGCAAAACAAAACTTCAAAATCTCTTCTAAGCTACTTTTTGTTCAGCATATTTTATTACAAGTGAAAGGACTTATCACAAATACAAAAAACAATACAAAACCATAATCTCAGTGTTTGCAGGATGGTGATGAAGCAGCATTATCATCTTTCCGATGTCACTACAGTGAAACTTTCCATTTCTGTCAATTATTTAAAATCAAGGGGTTTGGGTCTTGTTTGACAAAGATCTCAAACAGATGTGTAACTTTAAGCATCTAAGTTAAGCCTGTTAGCTTGAATGTGACAGTTAATATACTGATGTTAAGTATATCCTTAAAGTCAGGAGCTCTTGGGTAGACATTTGGACTCATTAAAGGTGAAATAAATGTAAAAGTAAAGAAGATAAAATTGTAATACAGAATATATTAATATCACAAAATAGACTGAAGATATTGCCTCTCTGTTATTTGTTAGTAAAGCTGATGCACTTCTGTAATGGATAAAAAGGTCATCTATAAGAAAATATTCTGTTTCTTGTCTTACACAGAAAGTATTTTATACAAAATGGATATAAATTTGCTCATTCACTGTTATAAAATCTAGGATCCTTGTAATTTATGTGGCCCCATGATATGTCATCATATGTCCAAACAACTTGGGAAATAAAGGAAAGAGCTTTTTAAAGGCCACAGAGAGGTGATAGCTTGGAAAAAAAGCTAATTAAAGTAGGTTTTTAAAATTGTTTTAAGATCTTTCATTAAAAAAACAAGCTTAATATAAAGTAAAATAGATCAAGGGTGTGCTAATGTCACTGCAGAGGCAGCACTCCAGTAGCAGATTGCATATGTTTAAGTGATTCACGTATCACAGAATCACAGATTTGATTTGGCAAATGAAAACCTTATCTTACTCTAAGTCATTTTTACCATCTGGATTTGCATATACATATGATATCTGTTATATTAATTATATCTATTTTCACAGGTATAGACAGACATAGCCCAGAGTTGTGGCAGCCATTAATAGATCAGGCAAGCCTTTAACAGCTGTGTTTTGATCAGCGGAAGGGTTTTTGGCACCCAAGAGCTGAAATCACCTTTTGGGTATGACAAGTGCATCGAAGTATCTAGCAAGTTAAAATCAAAGGTTTCTGTGAGGAGGGAGTAAGAACACCTACCACAAAAAATTAAGAGTAAAATAACCTTTAATAATCTCTACAATGCAAGCTCAATTGTATGTATTGCATTTAATTGGGATTTAGCCATCCATCATTTGCTGGCTCATAAAGCTGATTTGTGCTCTTTCCTCCTGTCCCTCTTTCCTGGAGCTGCTGGCCTCTTTTCACCATGCTTTTCCCATAGGCACGTACAACTGGGACCTACACATTCTTTTGTCTCTTCCTTTGGAACGCTGCTTTTTATCACATGGGGAAAGGAGTTTTGTGAGCAGCTTTCTTTCTTCTTTATTGTTGAATGCCACTTATAAACTCTGTCACTAGACTCTTGGAAGGTATCTAAAATGCTAGACAAGGAAACAGGTATAATTCAGAGGAAAACTGACCTTGATTGAATAGGGTCAAAATGCTTCAACTACCTCTTTCATTTGAAACTCCTCATTTATAGACTCATGCTTCTTTCACTGTAGCTTGAGGGTTGACATAAATATATGTGGGATGTGTGTTAGTCTTAAAGATAGGAAACTCAGTTAGATTTAATGAATTCTGTGACTAATCAAACACTTTGTGAAAAACATGATTTCTTCCCTAGAGAGTTGTAAGACTATAATTGTTGAGAACACCAAAATTTGTTTGTTTCTTTGTTTATTTTCAGAAAACCACTTTGGGCATTCCCCAGCTATTTACATGTAATAGACAAGTTAAAGCTCCAACTGCTAATTGCCAGGTCCAATTGCTTATGTTAATCAGGTTTCTGAGGAAACACAAAAGGTACTAACCTCTAAATTATCTGTCTAAAAAAACTGAACATCCGTCTTGGAATTTACACACGTAAGGCTATTCTTAAAAGCATTTGGAGGCCAAGCTACCAAAGATTTTTGAACAGAATTCTTGTGGTCATTTCCAGACTTCTCAGTACGAATGTTTCCGAGCTTTCTGCCGTTGACTGTCATCACAGGCCATTTCTGTTGAGTAGGCTGAGAACAGAGATTTACGAGAATATTTGATGAAGTTTTATACAGACTGTGTCCCAACCATTTATTTGCTACATTATGCACCTCTTTCAACCAAAAGCTGTTTGTTGTTATGGTAACCCATTGTAACGAGAGCCATGTGACCCATGAAAACCTTAGCTAGCCAACAAAGTTTGCAGTTTTCACGTACTTTTCAATGTTTCTGTTTTCATCTTGTTTAAACAGTATCTTTCTCATTGTCCAAACCACAGATGGCACAGGCCTCATTTTCTTTCTCTTCACTAAGGTTGATTTACACCCCATCAGCAGCAGAAAAAGACCTGAAAAACATGTAGATGTGATTAGAAGCACTTTAGTATCCTTCGGAGCAGCAAAGAAGAGTCTTGAACTCCCTTCTATTTCTTTGCTAGGAAGAGCTTCTGCTAGGACTGGTGTGGATTGGGAGCCAGGAATCCTTTCTGTCTGATTCCTGGATTGCTGAAGAGCAGCTACACCAACGCCCTCACACAGGCGTTCACATTTATCTTAGGTTAGCACGTTCCTTTATTTAACTGTCTCTGATCTGACTATATCTGATCATTCCTTCATCTCATTTTCACTTAACCTCTTGACCTCTACACAGAGTAAGCATCCTATCAGATATCACCCAAGGGACCTTCTTTGCCCCCCACTCCCCCTTTCTCCACTCTTTCTCCAATTTAGGTGCTTTATGCTACTCCTGGTAATTTACCTGATTACATGGAAAGAGCTGTAGATCTTTTTATAATTGCTGTTTTACTTAAAACATTGATTCTTTAGCTCCTGTCTATTTTCAGGCCATCACACCTCACTGAAGGCTTCCCTGCTTTAATGAGCAACTCAGAAACCACAGAGACTGGAGGATGGAAGTCGTTGGATGTTGTTGTGTTTGAAAACAGCTCCATAGCATTCATAAGAGGATTCTTGGCACCTGCCTAGTTAAACTGGATGTCCAATGTTATCTCTCCAGGCAAATAAGATTCTGGCAATCAGCGTAGTCCTATTTCACTTGTTCTCAGTCTTTTTGACACAAACACATTAATTCCCCAAGCTACATTGGCAGCTATAAGAAGTTCTTTCCTTTTTTTAATATGATTGATAATTTCTTTTAACCTTTTACTGCAATTGCTGGGCTAGGTGATAGTTTCTCTGTTTGGATGTTAATCTCCAGCATGCAGTAGCACATCATCCAATCGCCTACTCATTCTGGAACTCATTTGTAATATGTTGCCACTTAATTTACAACTGCCTATCAACCTCCACCAAGCACTATCCCTACAACATATAATGTCATTCTTCCAACACTTCTACTGTCAAAGGTCAAATAAAACAAAACATTGCCTAGTACAAAAAGTCCTTCTAGTTTAGCACAGAAAGAATAGCAGCCCTTGGGCAGAATTTGACTCTATCATTTCATATGATATGCTGGAAAGAAATACATTCTGGAAAAAGTGCTGATAATTAAGGTTCCCTGATTCAATGCAGGAAGTGTGTTGAAATGTACAGGCAAAAAAAATGTCATCATTGTTTTAACTTCCGATTTTTCAGGAGGAAAAAAAAAAATTGCTTGAGGAGACAGATATGAAAACAAAGAGACCTCCCAGGCTGACTTGAAATATGTTCAAACTACATATCCATTCTCTGCTCCCTAGAACCCAGTAAATATTTCTTTGGCCCCACAAAATATTTTAGTTTGAACCCAGGAAACCTCAGATTGACCTTGGAAATAAGATTCCTGATTTTCAAAGTAAATTTCTCAGCTACACCACTGGAGGAGTTACACTTTTCTGACTGAAACATATAAAACTTGTCTCTTTTGGCAAATGGGGTAAGAAGCTGGTTGTTTTCCCAATTAACTAACCATAGGCACAATCAAAATCTTTTTCTCAACTTTTATAACCCAATACAATGCTGGTGGCAAGGTTAAAATACCTTTTCTAGTCCATTAGGGGCAGGGTTAAGCCAGTGTAAAGTAGTAGTGTCTGTCTCAGTGGATATACACTGGCCTATCCTGCTGAGCATCTGGTGCATGTCTCTATAGAGATTTTGTTCTGTCTTCTCATCGGGTTGTATTGGATGCTTTAGCAGCATTTGATCCTATAGTGTCCTTTTAGCTTACCTTGAATCCCCTTTGAGATTTTAGATTACATATGTCTGGATTTGATTAGCTTTGTCAGTTTGTTTTCTTCTGATGTTTTTCTCCTCTGCCAGCTTTTTTTTTAACTCTTCTCTCTCCCGAGACAAGATCTCATGCTCTGATTCTTTTGAAAAAGTCTGTGACATTATTTTCTGGTGGTGTTGTTTCCTGGATCTGGTTATCAGTTATCTGTATGGAAATGTAAGCTCTTGTTCCTCATGGAATATAAGGATAGGAGAAGTCTTAAATTCCTCTTATAAAACTGGTTGGTGTCTATCAACCAATGCTGAAAAGCATGACCACAGCCTTTCTTTTGACTTCGTAGCTGCTTCTAAGATGTCAGACATAACTGCCTTTTGTACAACAGTCTTATTCAAACAGACAAAAACAATTAAGATGGACACTCTGATTGGCATCTGTCATATTAATTGAATTAAACAGCTGTAATTGACAAACATACAAAGAAAAAAAAACAACAACAAAACAACCAAGCAAACAAAAAACAACCCAAACTTGGTAGTAGGTGTTAAATAAAATAAGGTGATGTTTTTTCTCAGTGACCCTCTTAGGTTTTGCTTCAGCTTGGGTTTCTCACTTCAGCCAACCAGAAGTGTTGAAATGCTGTCAGTTGGTATTTCACTGAGGCTTCTGGTCCAGGGCATCAGTGCAGATATCCAACTGCCCAAATGTGGTCCTTGCACCCTCCCTGTGTCCTACTGAAGTCATTGACTCATGTGTGTGCTCGGGGTTTCACAAGGCTGCCAGGTGGTAGCCACGTGGTGCAGATTTAAGAGCTCCATGGGGCTCAGGTAATATTCATATATCTGAAAAGGACAGTGCTGTTGAAACAGGATGAACCTTTGAACTTTGTTTGGTTTTTGATATGACCTTAAGCCTCAGATTTATAAAAACATAGCAGAACAAACCCCACTGCTCGCCTGCTTTTATTCTATTTTCTGATTTTGCACTAAATTGTCAGCAAAGCAGGCTTTTTGCCTATCAGCAGATGGTACAGAATTCTGTGGGATTTTCCCACATTTGATGAACATGCATCGAGTCTATTTACATGAGCATGGAAAATATTAAAACGACTACCAGGTCTGTTCAGTGCAACACACCTGGAGCACATTGCTGCCAGCAAGCTTCCAAGGTGGGGAGATTCTGGCACATGGTTACAGTTCTGGGGATTGGACCACTTTTGACTTTGGTTATTGCATCTTTTGACACCTGAAGACATATTCACCTCTGACCCAGGAACATCTGCACCATCAAACTATAAAAACGGGAATTGAAATGTAACCTTTTTTTTTTTTTTTCCCCTTACTGTTATTTTTATTTTCTATTGAAAGGGGGTTTAAAAGGCCTATGAAATATAAAATTGCTTTTCTGTCATAGTTGCAAAACTCATTTCACTTTTTTATCTGAGATGCACTTGTAGTAAATTTCCAGGGCTGAGAAAGGAATACAGCAACCCACTGTCCAAAGCACTGAGCACAGCACAGCCTGCATCTCTCAGTCCTTGGGGCAAAGAGAGGAGGTGCCCCCGTCGACTACTTTGTCCTTGCTCCCACCATTCACCCAGGCTTTTCCTCACCAGTTTGTTACCCAAAATATTCTTACATGTTCTGACTTTCCTTCCTGAAGTAACATTGACTTTTTTTTTTTCTTTACAGGCAGAATTTTATAAATCCTTGGACTGTTGCTGCTGCTCCTTTGACAAGGCCCATCATCAGAATACCAGCTCTACTGGCAACTACACAGGTGACTGTCTTCTTACATGAAATATTGGTAAACCACAATGCTTATGTGAGTTTTCCTTTCATCTTTCTTGTTGTGCTCTGCTCTTGTGATTTATATTCATACAGGTTTTTTGTTGTTGTTGTTTTTCTGTTTTGTTTTGTTGGGTTTTTTTAACTCATTTTAGTGTGCTAGCTTTTGCCAAAAAAACAAAACAAACAAACAAAACCCCACAACAAACAATCAAACAAAAACCAAAACCAAGAAGCTGGGACCTTTCTATGTGTCAGTTTACCCTACTGTAGAATGAATTTACATGGTTTGTAAGTGGAATGTAAATATGCTTGGATGAACAGCGCTAGAAAAATCCCTGGAATTATTATTTTGACTTTTACCTGTGGTGTAATGGAGTCAATTTTTGTTTAGGATAAACAGTGTGACAAGTATATAGGGCAGAGCGACACAGTATGTTGATAGATGGGGTATTGCTATGATTGAGTTTGCCAAAATTAACACATTTCCCATTGGAAAAAAAAACTTTGGAAAAGTTTCTCTTTTCTGAGTACAGGCATTTTATGTTAGAGCCTCAGAGCTGGTTCTGTCTCTTCTAAGTTATAAACTCTTATGGATGTACCATAAAGATGTCCACCTAATGCAGAAAAAAGCAGATTAATTGATCACAGTAATATATTCTTATCCACTGAATAAGAGCATTCCACACATTGTTTCCTGTTTTGTTTCTGGCTTGTAAATCTTCATTGTGGAATACAAATGAAAATGACCCAAATATGTATTATTTATGAATAGGACTCTCAGATATTATGCTTTAGATTGATTGTGTTAGACAGGATATAACAGAAGCACAATAAGTCAATGAAAAATAAAAAGCAGCAAAAAATGTTTCATGTTAAAAATGTAGTTCTAGTGACACCTCTTATATAAAGGACGTTTCCAACACATTGACATTTGTATTTATCACAGCAGTGTGTGTGATTTACAGTTGTCTGAGGCATTGAATATCAGGAATATCCATGCACGTACACACCCCTTTTGAATGATGGTAAGCCATAGAACACTGCATTGCCCCTTGTACAGCAAGCTTTTCCTCCCCATTTTATTTTTCTTCTCTAGCTTCAGGGAGGCAAAGGAAGCAGTAGATCAATAGGGTGTCTTGACTGAAGTTGCCTGCAGCGCTTCCATTTCTCAGACTGGACACTGATGCTAACTATCAATAGCAATAAGAGGCTGTCTCAGACAGAATTAAGGCTCCTTCTTCTGCATGGCTGTCTGGTGCTTACTGATAAACATCTTGTGCAGGATTGCAACAAATAAACCATTTCAAGTGTGCAAACTAGCCACTGTCATTCTCCCTATTGATATTTGCTCTGGGGTGAAGTGACTGATAGTTATTTTCATAGAGCTGATAGATACACCATAGATAAGCATACAGATGGATAATAGTATAAAGGCATAATGCTATAGAGCGTGGAAAGATCATTGATGAAATTCTCTGTGCTCCTTGAGAAACCCTGAGACAACAAAATACAAAAATATTGACTTATGTTTAAACTAATAAGAAAAGCCGCATCTGAATTTAACTATTTATCAACATCTCACTTTTAGATAATGTTAAAAGTATCCTGTCAAGCTGTTTTGTTCAGATGGAGTTCTTCATTTTCACTACTCCTCATGTTTAGCCTGGAAATAAAAGCTGACAGGCTGGATGCAGCGCTGATGTTGATGGGGAGGTGTTTGGCTGCACCACCACTGCACCAGAGGTTAGTAATTTTGAAAAAACTGAGCCTCTTTAGCCTCCTTTCATGAAAAAAAGAAAAAATAAATCAATTCCACAACTGATCTATAGCTGTGTTGTACATTTCTTGTTTTCAGTCTGAATAAGAGGGAAGAATCAGGTTTCCGCTCACACATATGAAATCACCTTTAAAATACCCTGGCCCAGCTCTTGTTGTTGGTAAGTCCGTTATAATTCTACTTAGGTCAGAGATCCAGTAGAGATGTGCTAATCTACACCAAATGAAGAGCTCACATGCAAATCCAGGTTTTTTTTTCTTTTAATTTTGCTGTAATTGACTGGGGCAGAGGAAGTGGTTCCGATGCACTGCTGAAAAATCAACAGAGCTTTATTTTATATTCTCCCTCTCTGGAGCTCTAGCCATTTACAGGAGCAAACAATCTGGCTCTGAGGCATCTCCGGCTTTCTATGAAATGGTGCTTTTCAGATTAGGAAGCTGCTTTTCTGAGAGAAAGTTCTCTGAACCCTTTTGAGTTTCAGATTATCCTAAAGCAAATGGTTAAATAACATTATTTCATAATCATTTTTATGTTAGATCTAACAAAAGCTGATGGGTTTTACAGGATAATTCTGAAGGTAGGTCTGATGTTGCTGAATTCTTAAACTAACATGGCTGATGAGAAAATAAACCAGAGCTTTCAAGATTTTATGATGGAGGGCACCAATTATGAATAAACATAGTAAAAATATTTGCATAGGAAGACTCCTGAGTATATGTCCGTGAACAGATATATAAACTTTGAAAGAAGTGAAATTAAGTATTACCAGGAACTTAATGCATGAGGGGAGGGAACAAAACAGCTATACAATTTGTGGATTAATCACTTACTGATAGACATTTTTTACTTTTTCTCTGTACCATATGCTGCAACTGGATTTGCCCACCACACAAGAGCAGTGTGGGAGTGGAACGGTTAATGTGCACACTGTTCAGAGTCACTGCTGTTATTAATTGTCCTCCTGTGCAGAACACGTACATTTTACACTAACATGCTGATCAGTGAGACAGAGCATGCAGTTTCTAGTGAAAAAGCTGGAATTTCAGAAGTAGCCTGGCTCTTCTTTTTGATTACTTTCTGACTAGAGAGTTGGAGTCAAACTAATTCATTTTGTAAACACTACTGGTCATTCATGTGCAGTACTTTGTATGAATCAGTGTAGGACAGTCAGACTGGTACAGCTTCAAAAGTGCAGATGAAACTTACTGTTTCACTGTATGCAGTGTAATCACTGTACAAAGTAATCAGGATCATATCTGTACCCTTTGCTCAGGATAGGGTCCTATCCTCCGGAATGGGTTTCCTTCAGAAAGATGAAAGACAAGAGTCCAAACTGCTTGCTGACTAGCAACCCACCCCAGGCACACTAACAGGCAGCTTTCAACAAATATTTATACAGCTCAGGGATATCGCTATAGCTTCAACATTTCAGCACAAATATTAGGCCACAACCTCAGCTAGTCTAAATTGACGTAGTCCTATTGGCTTCAGTGGCATTAAGGTGATTTACAATAGTTGAGGTTCTCACTACTTTGATTTTTTTCCTCAGTGCCTCTGTCAGTGTGTTCCATATACCTCTTTCAACTGAGAAGTAGATTAATTTTGAAATAAAAATCAAAGCTCTTCATCCTATTAAAATTTTTGCTTAGTTTTGAGAGGGGCTGAGAGTAAAGAGAAAAGTGTTATGAGGCTGACAGAGAGTTTTCTGGACCACAACAGCATTCAGCTGAGTTGGGGTGCTAAGGCAGGAAGCCATTCAAGGGAGTAATTGGCTTTTTTCCTGATATATATATGTGTGTGGGTATAAAATCTGGATGTATATGTATCTATATAAAATCTGGGTTTACTGCTCCCACTGGAGAATTCGGTTTTGTGTGTTACTTTTAATAGCAGTTATGCAGAGATATAAGCACACAGTTGTGTATTATAATATTTGTTTCCCAATGTCAGTATGCCAGGATTCTTTAAAAGGATATGAAGTGGGTTTTTTTCCTGTTTTTCTTTCAAGACAGGAAACATTAGTAAAGCACATTTTTTTTCCCAATTGTAAGTGACTTCAAGCTGGGGACAGATAAATGGATTACATTACATATTTTCTACACAAACATAGGGATTAATTTAAATTATTTCCCTAAATCAAAATAACTAGAGTCTTTGGAAGCCTTTGAAGTTTAATTAATGTTTATTCTTGCCATCAAGTGCAAGTTTTGGGACACCATACAGGACCACTAAAACAAGATGATCTAAAGCTATTTATATCAAACAAGCCAAAGCCAAGATGTTTGTTTTCAAGTTTTGAAGAAAATACAACTATTTTAAAGTTGCTAATATTTTGTTTTACAAATTTGAAGTAGAAGTTGTAGGGCTTCTCCCTCTGAGCTGTTGATGTTTATAGTCTATACGTAGCCTATACATCAACTACAAATCTGATGATTTTCAAAAGTAAACTTGATACAGAACAGGTCCCCTCTAGCTTCTATGCTGTCCCAGGTCTGGTTTCCACTCTTAGGGACACAGGAAAGCTAGCTTTGCTCTCGTCTTTCGGAATACATTTGGAATTCCTTTCAAATGTGTCTTATCAAATTTGACTAGAAGTACCTATTACTTGGAGACATTTCAATGCCCATTTTCTGTAGAAGAAAATTAAATCAGGTCATGAGATGTAATAAACCAGACGTAGGATTTCCAGATAAATTTTATTTCTTTCATGGTTATAGTTTTTGAAGTGTGCTACTGAAATGCTGCGTAAATGTAAAAGCTGGTTTACGTCTGATGGCTGTGATTGACTAAAGCAGTAGGTAATATTCTCAGAGATATTTAGCTTCTGATAATTCAGCCATACAGACGACTTTTTTTTCTTCCTTGAAGGCCATTTTCATATGTACAAAAAAAGCTTTGCAGACAAGATATTTTTTATATCTAAAATTCACAGCATGTCTTGCTGTTAAATTGCCACCTTAGAGGCCTTTTTAAAATTTCATTGAAAATGCATATTAAATCAAAGTGATAGACACATGTAATGTAAAATGTCTGTCAACAATTAGAATCCCATTTGGAAGTTTGTAAAGCATAACAATTTAAAATGAATTTAGATTGAGAAGGAAAGTTTTTACATTAAGAGGAAAAGTTTTAGCCTGCAGTACTGCAATTTTGTACAGAAAAAAAAAAATCCAATTTTTTTTTTGCCATTTTGTGAGTAAAAGAGAAAGGAAAGAACCAGAGATTCTAATGCAGTTAGTTCATCAGTATGTATCAGTCAGGTACCTTCTGTCTTTCCACAACAAAGTCCAAACTACATTGATCTGATTTGGAAAGATATAATAAATCACTAAATATACAGAGCGTAAAGTCCATTGTAAAACTTTTCCCTTGTCATTTTTGAGGAACCAAGAAATACATTGCAGTTGAAACATTTGATTACTCTGTGTTACGTATTGAAAAGTGCCGCTGTTTATATTGGGATAGACTAAATCCCATCTAAGTAATATCCACGTGGCTTGAAAAAAAATGCAATGAAGGAAACTTCACAAAATTCCCTTTGTATTCTTCTCAGGTGACACCTCTGGAATATCCCCAAATGGCAGGGTCGTGGGCAAACAGGAGCTCAGAGCGCTGAGGTACCTCTAAGCAGTTTGGCCCCAGTCCTTCGCCCTGCAGCTCCATCACCAAGGACTCACCTGCCTACACAGAGGCTGGTTTGGCACTCAGAGGTCAGTCCCAAGTGTGGAAGGAGCTCTGTGTGTGCTATGGAAAGCATTGTCTCTCCTGTGTTCTTTCCTGCTTGGTGAGCCAGTATCTCAATTCCTGCATCATCCTCTTTGCATTTGGGAATAAAAAAAGGCCTCCAAGGAAGGGAACTGCTTTCTCTCCAACTCTAGAAAAGAGTACATATCCCGCATAGAGAAAGGGTTCACCCAGTCAGAAAGTGAAATGTAAGTGTAGAAATACTTGACGGGTCTGTGCTGCCTGACCAATAGCCAGATCAATGTGGTCGTGTACCTGAGCTACAGAGCTTGGGCTGTCACATTTGGGTATTCCCAAAGCCTGGGGCCCAACAAAAGCTGGGGTTAGGTGAGGTTTTCTGACTAATACTTACTGAAAACCATGTAAGCCACTAGAATACAGTTAGTCATAAAGTGAAACTACTTAAATTATTTTCAAATTCTGTTTGTTTATTTTTGATTTTATATCATGCATGCTTCCAAGCACTGAAATTAGTATAATTCTGGCAGTATATGTCAATGCTTCAAGCATAGAACAATGCATTCTCTGCAGTGATACATAGCTGCTTTAAGCAGATACACTGCCAGATATACTTGTGTATAATTCGTCCAGATTAAATTCTGGCTGTTTCTAGACATTCCAGTTATCACTTTGATTGATTTTATGAGAATGGCAGTAAGAAAGTAGACTAAGAAACACAAAGCAAATTCTCCAGTTCACTCCTGAAAGGATAGTCAATCCAATGAGAACTTTCTTTAGTGTGTTCCTGTTTACAACTATTGCAAAAATAACTGTGTGCCATCACAAAAGATGGATGCAAATTACCCAGAACAGCTTTTGTCTCTGGTTATTTAGTATTCGTGCTTCCTTTTAGTAACCCTGTTGAAGATCCAAGATTACCTGTGAACAACACAATTAAACAGGTGGTTTAAGAACTACTTTTAAATTGCCAGAGCTGTTTTACAGGGAATTCTTTCCCAGTCATATGAGTACCAGCAAACAAATTCCTGCAGGCTTTCCTGAATGCAGCAACCAGCACCAGCCACAGGATTTTGTTGCTCCAGGCAAAACATCAAATGTAGGCCCCTCACAAGGCACCATCATGAGCACAGGCAAGTGTTACAAAACATTTTGCAGCCCTAGGCAGCTGCTGCTCTGCGTGGCTGGTGGTGGCAGTGCTGGCCCTGCATGTCAATTTGCCTATCTCTCACCCATTAGGATCACGTCCATCTCCTTTTCTACCTTTGCACTGAGCTTACCTAATTGGTTCTGCTCAGTGTGACTCCCATCGCTGAACACAGTCAGGTCCTGTCCTACCTTGGAGTGATCCATTACAAATGGGCCAAAGGAGCAGCGGGTCTGGCAGCCCTTGGGGAGCAGCACTGGGTG